CAGAGAACTAGCTCTGAATTATTTCCGAGCTGGTGTAACGCCTATTCTAGTGGCAACGGCCGTGGCTGCTCGGGGTCTAGATATACCAAATGTGAAGGTATGCCAGAAAAACAAAATAACCTGTCCTTCCCAAGCACGTTATCAACTACGACTTGCCTAGCGACATTGAAGAATATATCCATCGCATCGGTCGTACTGGACGTGTCGGAAATCTCGGCAAGGCAACTTCATTCTTTAACGAGAAAAATCGCAACCTCGCGGAGGACCTGATCGAACGTCTTGAAGAAGTTCATCAGGTTATCCCCTCCTGGCTGAAGTCTATAGTTGACGAGCCAAATCGCATGCCGTCGTCTGGCGGCCGAGGCCGATCACGCAGGTAAGTGCTCCGATGTAGTGCTCTCTGAATAGGTTTTAACTAGTTCGCAGACATCTACATACTAATTTAAATTTCGCCCATCCATTAACGACCAAACGAAGTTTTCGTTGGTAACACGACGATGGCGGTTTGCCCTATTTGTCGTCGTCACTTGGCCTAGTCCCGTCTTGACGTCAGTTAGACACGGGGTGCCAGACCGTAACCAATCGGGTAAGCTAGAATCTTTGCCAGCTCTATAACAGGTCCACGCCTTGAATGTTTTTTATCAGGAATGTCAAACATTACAGAGGAGTGTGGGAGTTCAGGAGTCCGTCCCGGTCTAGAGCCACTGCAGGCAGTGATCTTGATGTATTAGCAACGCAGATTGAACAGACAGAATAACCATCTCTAGTTTGTTCGTCAACACCATTCATAGTGTTACGATACCGTTTGCGATGTCTAGACATGTGCTCCATATAAACATGTCTTAATACTGGCAAATGTTACATTTACGTTTCCTGGAAACCAATTTAGCATAGTCAGTAGTATAGAAAGTCGCACCGCAAGCGTGGTGTTCCTAGGCGGCATCGTGCTACATCCGAGCGACGTTTGCGAAGTTCGATATCCCCAAGTACAACTGCTACAATTGTGAGGTATCTCCATCCCTTGAACGTAGCAAAGCTTGTCGGAAAACCGGTATGGGCTTCTTTTTACATTCCCGTAGTTCAGTAACCTCAAATATTTTCCTAGTCATTTGCGCTTATTTCTGTTTATACTGCAACCGCGTATGTCGTTCACTGAATAGCGAGTCTTAATATACCCTTGTCTTAAGTATAGGTTGAGTCAGCTAATGACCTGGTTGTGCGATTTTTTTGCGTTCGTCCATTAAGCATAGTCAACCTGTAGAGGGTCTTCTAGCATACGGCGCAGATTTTCCTTGTAATACTATCCGCAGTCATCATTTCCGCCGGACGAACTCAAAATCTGCTGCTGATTTCAGTAATCTGACTACCAGCTAAATAGACAGTATAGCAGGACTTTTTTTCTACCTGGTAACCGTCAAGTTGCTAAACCTTACCGTATCTTTAATATATATCCTTACTATCTCCGTCTTTTTCCGTTTTTCGTGGCCTCAGGGGTGGAAGTGGATTCGGTTGCCGAGACTACAGACAACAGCCCTCACGTGGAGGCGGGGGCGGAGCGTATGCACCCGGCCCTCCTCGCTTTAACATGGGTGGACACGGAATGATGCCCTATGGTGGAGGCAATTTCGCCGGAGGTGGCGCTAGCAGCCGACCGAAGACCGATCGTACGGACTGGTGGTCAAATGAACAGAGTTGATTTTTTTTACTGATTTGATGCTAGGCTATATTTTGGCGTTCTGCCGGTTACTTCGCATTTACCGTTGCAGTTGCGCTTGGCGAGTTTTTTAAACATCCGTTTTCTCAGACAGTAATAAAAAAATCGAAAATGGCACTTGATTAGTTTATTTTCTCTCAGTCTGAGGTGTATCGTGCAGCATATTGGTTTATGGGGGATAGTGAGCCACAAATCGGGCTATGTCGAACTTCCTTTTGCACCCCGCATAGTTCATGTACCGTATTTTCCCGAAGATGTCTCGTTCCCTCCATCCCTGATCATGGATCCCGCACATGGACCACATGACTCCTGAAACATCAAA